TTAAGATCTATTACAATAAGATATATAAAAAAAATTTGCACTTCTTCACTTTGAGAATAATTATTTTTTAATCATTTGACAATGAATATTAAACCGAGATCAATATTTTCTTCGTTCTCTTTTAGCACGATTTATTGCATATTAATATAGATAATATTATATTAATTATTAATTTTACACAGAAAGAATTTTCTCTTAGAATTTATCCTGAAAATCATGGTAATCCTGGGGCAATATATTGTAATACTGGAAGAATTTTATAAGAATTTCTCCGATTAATATTTACCACAATAAAAATATTAATATCTACCACAATAAGATATTAAAATATGTTCGATTAATTTTACTATGTCCATATTAATATTTTTTTATCGTGGTAAATATTAATCACGATTTTTAGGATAAATTTTAAGAGAAAATTCTCTCCGTATCCTTTCGATAATCACAGAGATAAATACTTGCGATCTCGAAAAGACTTCAAATGCATTTTTCGATAAAGACAAATTTAAATTTTCCTTGCGGATGAAAAGACTCGCTGCAACGAATGCAAGATTACCCCATAGACGCGCGTCTCTTGTCGCATAGAGATGGAGAAAATATCAGCGAATGTAATCTCAAACGTCGGAATGCGACACGAAGCAGGTTATCGAAGCTATTCAAGGATAAGTGAAGCGTGGAGTACAAAAAAAAAGAAGAAAAAAATGTGCGCGAGGTGCGAATTATATCTGTCGTCATACGAGTCAGAGGACGCGATGCAAGACTGTTTATGCTTGGGGGGAAACTGGTGCCCCATTGCCCTTGTTCGAAATATGCACGAAGCTCATTCGAGCGATAGGGAGACAAGATAGAGAAATAAGATTCTCGTTATGTGCCCGAGTCGATCGTAAACTGTAAGACATAATTTAAATTTTCTTGGTTATATGTGGAATTTCATTTTATATGCCAAGTATTATATCTTCAATAATGCAAACATAAATAATGAGACAAAATGAGAAAAAAATTTCAATATTTTATACACAATGTCCCAGACCTACCGTATCATACGTTAATGGGGGATTCCTGAGGCAATTTGGAGATAATTTTTCCTCAGGGAAAATGTCCAGGCACCAATAATTTTCGAGTTATAAACGATTGAAAATAAAAGCTTTTTTTGTAAACTAAGCCTTGTAAAAATAAATTATTAACAAAACTATATTTTTCAGGTAAAGTTTACTTTAATAGAATTTTAATTTAAGGCTTAGTTACAAAGATACATGATTTCAAAAATTGGGAACATTAAAAAAAATGATGACCTTTCTCGACATTTTCGTTGAGGAAAAATCGTCTCCAAATCGCCTCAGGAATCTCCTATTAACGTGTGATACGGTAGGTCTGGGACACCCTGTATATGTATATAAAACAATAATAATGTATGTAGACTTGTGGAAAAAGTTATCATGTCAAATACATATAAACTTTTAGCGAGAGCTATTTCGGAAATTTAACACTTTCCAACACATATGTCGCGTTTCCTCCATCTTCGAAAACTTTGTCCTTTTCATCTCCCTGGGCAATAAATATTTCAGCGAAATTGTTTTCCAAAGTTACATTGAAGCGATCGCAAGTCATCTCGAATTACAAAGAGAAAGGGAGAAAAAGAGAGAGAAAAAGAGAGGTATTTGCCTTTATACCTATGCACCCCCAGGGATCAACCCTTTTTGCCAATCTCATCCACGAATCCCTTTGCTACTAAATCAGTATTAGGAGTGACGTTACAACCTCGACATTTTTCTCTCGATTTTACGATTTTCATAATACAGGGAATTCATTACTTAATATTCTGTTTAATGTAGTTGCACGAATTTACATATATAGTTTTTCCATCGAGCATTCTGACGTAAATTAAGAATGATATTCGTTTGATCGTATAATAAGCACAAAATATAAAATATATATAATTTATTTATAAAATTAAATTAGATTAATAAAACTTTTATTATACATTTTTCATAAAATAAAATAACAAAATATAAAAATAAAATATTTTATTTATAAATATTTATAAATAAAATATTTTATTATAAAGTATAATAAAAAATTATGAATATATATTGCTTTTTACATTTATGTATTTTATTCGTGTAAATAAAAGTTTAATAAATTTTTTCGTATAACGTAAAATATTTTCCAAAATATACATTTCACAAAACTCAATCTTTATTAACTCTCAACTTTATTAAATCTTAAATTAACAGTTTAATTTTAATATTGTTTCTCCATTGTTATTCTAAATTTATTTATTTGTTATCCTATTCTTTCACACATATTTTTAGAACAAAATTCTATTCAATTGATTACATCACCGAATCGACTACGCCAATTTGCACGAGTTTGCGAGATATACGATAAAAAGGATAATGATCATCTTTGTCGGTGAACAATCGTGAGACATGAAAGATACAATAAAAATACACGTGCAGAAAGTCTCGACTCATATTATCCGTCTGCCCTCCCGATATGTCAACGACAGTAATCGGATACCAAAATATCTAAAAGGGTTGCGTTTAGGATTTTCCACACGTGGCTGTGTAAATAAGCCAAATATACGGCTATACATGCGAATGAATATTTATGATGACGCGTCATGAATTATTATAATTCTCGTTCGATGGTGAATGCGCGACGGGTGAATATCAGATACATCTTGTCGCTTGTGTGGACATAATGGCTTAAACGACAGCCGATTTTCGGTCCCTCGAATCGAGCTTGTAAATATTCCGGATTACGCAACAATCGTGAAACAACAATCTCGCGCGATCCGCATTTCTTATGTATCCCGATCGAGTGTTTTAAACGTTTCGAACGAATAAGTTATTCCTATATCCGCGGGCTAAATCGCTCGTCTTTCTCTCTCTTTACAAAGCTGCTGTATATAAATCGATCGTTGATACGGCTTACGAGGAAGCTTAATGGAGTATCGATCATTTCGGTGTCGAATATCAACGAGTATATCTTCCTCTCATGCCGCTCCTATTTATATACTATTTTTTTTCTAAACGTGATTGCGCGCCGTAAGCGTCTATGATTTATGTATGCAAAAGAGCGTCGTAAAATTGCAAATTCGCGTTTAGTTATACAGTCTAAAAGGATAAGTCGGATCAATGTAAAAAAATGCGGTATATATATAATTCGCATCACAATAACCAGCAGACACGAGGTAGCAATGCAAGTTGCAATGTAATAATTTCTAAAGGATGCATACGTATATGCTATAACGTTTATAAATAATTTATATACACAGAGAGATTTTCTCTTAAAATAATTTACTCTGAAAATCAATCGTGGAACAATATGGTATTGGAAGAATTTTAGAAGAGTTTCGCTGATTAATATTTACCACAGTAAAGATATTAATATGTACATAGTAAAATTAATCGAACATATCTTTTAGATTTTATTGTGGTGTAAATATTAATCAGAGAACTCTTCTTCCAATATCAAATTATCCTATGATTATCATGTTTTCGAGGTAAATTCTAAGAGAAAATTCTCGCCGTATACCCAACATATATTTTAATATGGTATAGTAATAAAATATTAAAAAAAAATATATATATATAATAAGTATATTTAAATTAATTATATTAAATTAAAATAATTATTTGTAAGATGCTTGCTTAATATCTCGCATGTAACGTGTCAAGGTTAATCGATTTAAGTCCAGGCAGTAAAAAGTATCGGTATGCTTGAGTGGCATAAAAATGCAATTTTGTGAAATTTCGTGACAGGTCATAAAATTTCAACTCAGATAAGATATGCATATTCGCATTACGGCATTCTTCTCGTATATGAAGATTGCATAGTGTCGTTGAAAGTTAGAGCGTATACCCGTTACACACGCGGTGACCGGGCTCTGTTTCTATCTCTCTCCTTCTCACCCTCGAGATTGCGCTTGCGAGCGCGAGTGCAGCCGTGTAACGAGCCGTAATCTCGCGGTAATTTACGAAATGACAGTCCATAAATATTTCGTCCGTAAATTGTGATTACGGGTTTGATCGACTCCCGGTCCCCTTCCTCGTCGTGTCTCCTCTTCTTTCCGCTTTCGTACGTTACTACTTAACTGTAACCACGGTCGCTCGACTTTAGCGAATCGCTGGAAAGGGGAACGGACATCGTTCGACCGGAAATCGAGAGAGTATCGGGAACGCGTGAGTTCGCGAGTTCCTCTTGGAAAACGAGAAAGAAGAGGTACGCGTCAAACAAATATAGTCTACGGGGGTTCGATGATTCACGCGAAAGATCGCGAGCGTCCGCAGGATTTTTTTCAACGAAGAAACGTGATTCAATTTTTATTCTTTCTTCATTTTTTTTAAATTTAATTTTCTTCATTATTATTTTTTTTAATATTAAATATGCAAACATAATGTTTTAACGATTCCTAGGGGGACAATCATGAGCGTCCGCAGAATTTTGTTCATGGGGGGAATAATTAAAATTGTTTTGTTCTTTCTTCATTTTTTAAATTGAATTTTCTACATTATTTTTTTAATATTAAACAAGCAAAAATAATTGTTTTAACGATTCCAAGGAGGGCAATCATGGGCGTCCGCAGAATTTTGTTCATGGGGGGAATAATTAAAACTGTTTTGTTCTTTCTTCCTTTTTTAAAATTGAATTTTCTACATTATTTTTTTTAATATTAAACAAGCAAAAATAATTATTTTAACGATTCCAAGGAGGGCAATCATGGGCGTCCGCAGAATTTTGTTCATGGGGGGAATAATTAAAACTGTTTTGTTCTTTCTTCCTTTTTTAAAATTGAATTTTCTACATTATTTTTTTTAATATTAAACAAGCAAAAATAATTGTTTTAACGATTCCAAGGAGGGCAGTCATGAGCGTCCGCAGATTTTTTTCAGGGAGAGCATGATTAAAATTCTCTATATATAATTAAATATGCAAGAATAATTTGTTGCGCAAGATCGGCTAAAAAAAAAAAAAAAAAGAAGAAAAGACTTTACCGTTTCTTCGAGAGGAGCGTGTAGGACTCCTTGGTCGCGGCGCAGATCCTCATCCGCATTTTGCGCACGGCCCTTTTGCGCACTCCACCTTCGAGAACTGGCATCCAGATGAACGGTCCCGGCCTCCCTCCTGTTTCACCCTGTGTCGCCGCGACGACACCTTGCCGATCGACACTTTGCGCCACGGGCGCGTTCTCCGCCCCACGACGACGACCTCGCGGCGGACCTCGCATTCGACTCACGTCGCGATCGGCATGACGCGATTAATCTCTCTCTCTCTCTCTTCGCGGAAGGAGAAAAGAAACGCGCACAATAATTATTTCGTCCGCTCGACGCCGATTTTTCCGCCGCAGTCGCGGGTGAATATAATTTACAATCGGCGAGCTCCTCCTCGTTGCTGTCCTCCCTTATCTCGAGGTCGACCGCCGATTCTCGTCTCTTCGTCTTCTTCTTCTTCCTCTCGCGCTCGCCTCTAGTCTATTCGATAACCATTATCGAGATAAGAGCGTTCTCCGCGGCCCGCGGGCTCGAAAGGATCCTTTTGATGGATAGCGCGACGTCTCTCGGCGGATTCGCGTGCTTTTGGCACGCGTAGATCGATCACGAGGATCGATCGGAGATCCTATCGTCGGGAGATAGTGATAGATTGCGAGAGAGACTTCGATCTGATTGCACGGACGATCTATACGTATATATATTCGATGAGTCTGATTATTTTTGCTATTTGTTATTTGGATTTATAGCGAAGCTCCGAGGAGAGAGATGTGTTTTCTTTTATTTTTTATATTCGATAAATTTAATTCAATTCTTAATTGTGTCTCAAAATATTAAATTAATAACACTGTATAATATATTGAATAGAGTGCATCCTTTTTCTTTTGACAATTAAAACAGCGAAATAAAAGAACTATAAAAAGAAATGATATCTATTTCATTTTTATTATTACATGAAGGATTTTATATAATTTGTTTATTAACGCGCGATTATTAAAATCCTTATTTAAGTGCGAGTTTAATTTTTCTAATTTCAACTTCAATAAAACATATATTACTTAAAATAATGTCACACAAAGAAACTGGTTGCAAGTTTAATATTCAATTTTGCAAATCTTGAATATATATGTAATGTGCTTCTTGCAAATACGTTTAAACTTTCTAATTTCTTTTAAAGCTTTTCTTTTCAATTTCCTCTTGTTTTTTTATACTGCAATTTTTCAATTTCCGGAGATTTGTATAAAGATAATACGTGAGATGACGTCTTTTATAGCGTACACAAGAAGATTGCAAATTCTCTGGTTTAAAAACCTGAATGATTAACAATGTAATAAAAGATCACAACCGAAAGAGAGAGAGAGAATCGAAACTTTAATTTATTGCCTTACACGGCGAAAACAGAAAAATGCTTCTAAGATAAAACGACGTAAGTAAAGCTTGAAAAGATTTTTCTTATCACGTTCGATAAATCAAGTAATTATAAATTGAAAGCTACGAGAGAATTAAATTCATATTTAAAATAGCTATACAAACACACTCTTTCTTCGAAGGTTATACATACGTATGTAATATTATATTTACATCTTGAATTTTCGCAGAGAATAGGCTACTTCATACATTAATATTCTATTTGACGAACAAATTCCGTTATAAATAATAGCGAAAATATCAAACTCAAAATCGTAAAAAAAAATCATGGGCGTCCGCAGGATTTTTTCTAGAGAGGACATGATTAAAATTTTGTTTCTTATTATTCTTTCTTAATTTTTTAAATTCAATTCTTTTATTTTAATATTTATTAAATAAAATTTCAAATAAATAGTGTTTCTTCACAAGGAGAGCAAATGCATAACTTTTTTTTATATTAATTCCAAGAAAAGCGGACGTCCATGAATAAAATCGTAAAATTACAACACGCGTGTCAAAAATAAACGTGAAAGAAATTTGATTTCCCAGCGAGGAAAATCAAAGCGAACTCAGTCGAGTTACTTACGATCGACTTAAGAGAGGCGAATAATCCTTCGGGCGAGAAGAGACAACGCGCACTATTATCTCGCGGCTCTTGTATCGGATTTTTCCGGGAAGCAAGAGAGAGAAAGAACGAGAGATACGTAAGCGTAAAGACCTTTGATTCGGTCGCCCGCAAACGAGATCTAACACTATCGAGTTGACCGATTAGAAACGCACTCGATTATCGCGGTTTACCATCTGCGACGCTATCTCTCACAGACGAAGATGGAAATTGAAAACCGAGATTACGCTAATCGGAAGTCAAGCAAAGCAAACTATATGCGACTGTTATTCGAGCCGCTGTTTATCGGCCTCGCACTTGCCTTTGTTCGCGCGAAGCTTCGATAACAATAAAAGGGAAAATCTGCGGATTCCGTTTAGACGCGCGTAAAACTCAATATCACGCACACATACACGTTCAATCGCGTTAAAAGACGAGTCCTTTTTTTTTTATCACACCCTTTTATCTTAGTTTCAAAATCACTTTACGTTTGTCACAATGTCGGTACTCAAAACGCGGAGAATATCGGCACGTATATTAAATTCGCGACGGATGACAGGCGAGAGATGACACGTGCGCGCGGACGGCTCGACGGAACGCGAGTGTGACGGCGTGCGTCACGCACGCGCCCCACCACGGCGCCGTAAGACCCCGGCGAGATCGCCGGAGGGGGTAAAGCGGCACGGTGGGGGGGAGGGTGAAAAGCCGCGCGCGCACACAGGCCCCTAGGGGTTGAGGGAGGGGGGAGGCCTCCTGGTTCTCGCGCAACGAGTCTCGCCTACTTTCTTCCTTCTCCGTCTCTCGACTCGCATACTGTCGCGCGTATTTTTCCTCCTGTACGTGTATTTTTTTTTTTTTCTTCCTTCCTTTCTTTCCTTTCGAACGCCGGGTAGACGTTTATAGCGCACCTACGCCTCTTCCTCTAGCGATATTACTTCGGGCGAGACGAATACGCAGTGACTCGTACACGCTGAGAACGTCGCACTTTCTGAATGATTTTTAGAGAATTGCGATCGTATACGAAGATTTATGTTGGTTCCGTTGATTGATGAATTTTTATATTTGTAATAGATAAATATAGAAATGTTTTTTTTTTTTTTATTATTTTAAATAATTTTAGAGACCTCTCTTGTATCTTTGTCATATCATATATGTGTATTTTGTACAAATGGATAAACAAATATTTTATACAGAAATTTATAGATACTTTTAATTAATTGCGTTTTTATGTTCTTTTAATTGAGTGTAAATAAGTTTAAATAATGGATACGTCACAGAAAAAAAGGAATCCTTGATTCAAGTATATTTTTATTCTTGAACGCTATTTAATTGATTTATTAAGCATAAAATTGTAATTACAAATTTTCATTTTCCTTAATAATAAATAAGTTTGTGTGAAATATATTTTATCATTAAGATATATTCTTGTTTTAAAAATCGCATATATATGATAAAAACAAACTTAGTCACATTTGAACTAAGAATTATTATATATACTTGAAAGTACCGCTTATATCCGATGCTCACTTACAATATTTATAAGTACAATAAATTTCAGCTTGAACCAAGAATATTTTGCACTTTGTTTTAAGGATAAATTATCCTTTATCCAAAATTATTTATATTTGGCGCTATTATAAGGATAAAATATACTTGAATCGAGGCATATTTGCATTTTTTCAAGGATACTGTTTTTTCTGTGATCATATATTTTGAAATAACTTTTACGTGATTATTTCGATTGACTTGAATTTTGCATCGTATCCATTATTTAAATTTATTCACACTCAATTAAAAATATATTAAAACGCAGTTAATTAAAAAAATTGTTTATCACGATGAGTAATATTGCAAACGAAGTGTAATATTGCAACAGAGAGAGAAATTTAAATATAAAATTATTTTTTTTTTCATAAAAATTTTAAATAATATGCAGCTATCTCCAGTCTTTTTGTTATCTATATATATTTCGAATATAAAAATGATGAAAAAATATTTTATACGCAAAAGATTTATATAGTAAAGGAGAATATTTTTAATCAATTGTGTCAATATTTTAAAAAGAAGTATGAATAAGTTTCGATACATAATTTAAAATAATTTTTGCATCCCGCGATTGTATACGTTTATGATTACGTCGGGGGCGAGATCTCGATTTGCGATCGTCCGAAGAAATTATGTTTATCACAATAAAGTAATATTGTGAAATATCGAAACTTGATCGATGTAGTTGGAAAATGTCGAGTCATTGTAGAACTTTGATTTAACTTGCCAATTGTCCACCATTCTTCCGACTTGAATACATTATTCACAATGAGATTTCATATTCTATATAGTAAGGTGAAACGTAGTGTTCGTCACAGTCAAAGTTTGACACCGATAACGGTGACTTCGAAAATTACGCGACTCTCGAGAAGCGCAAGAGAGCATTTCCAGAAACCGCGATGACTGATCAAGCGTAAGAGAGAGATATGTCTCGTGACATTATTATATTAGTTCATACACGTGCGGAGATATTGTCAAAATGATACGTATAACTAGATAATTTTATTATATTATTAAATTATATTTATAATAAAATTTATATAAGATGTATATATTACATATTATACAGGGTGTTATAAAAGTACCGGAACGGCAGACTAACTCGAAAAATATATGAGTCCTAGAAAATATGCTAAGTATTGGGTTTTTATGATTTTTTCCTAGCTATCTTCTGATGGTGACCTCAGCTAGAAAAAAATCATAAAAATCCAGTACTTAACATTTTTTCTATAGAACTCATATTTTTCGAGTTATTCTGCTGTTCCGGTACTTTTATAACACCCTGTATATAAAAATATATATAATTTAATAAACATAATATGTATAATATATAACTAGATAAATGATATATATTATATAACTAGATATTGTAAATTTCCAAAATGTCAAATGTATATATCGCAGAGGAAAATTTTACATAATCGAATCTAAAAATGCGCCTTCCGTTTATCGTCGCAGTTATATAAAAGTGCTCCTATTAAGTAATAGAAATTCCTATTTCGAGCAACAAAGAAGAAAGTTTAAAGGTTAATTAGTCGCGATAAAAAATCGTGTGAGAAAAGTAATTGCGGGAAATTATTTTAACGTTTCAGCAAAGAGACTGCTGACGATCCGATAGAGCTGATCCAAAACGATCCGATAGAGCTGCAAAACGATCCGATAAAGCTGCAAAACGATTCGACGAAAAGTATCGCGGAAGTTTTCTCGGATTGTACAGTTCTCGTAACAGGTGGTCTGGGCTTACTCGGAACGCTTCTAATCGAGAAATTGCTGCGGTAAGCATAAATCAATCGACCGTCAAACTTGCAAGGAACTTTCTTATATACCAAATTATCGTTATTTATGCAAAATGTTGCGCAATTTTTTGTACATAGATTTTGTCCGAAAGTTAAGACATTGTACGTTCTTGTAAGAAAGAAAGATGGAAAAAGTCTTGATGAACGTGTGAAGCAACTTGCTGAAATGCCCGTAAGAATTTTTCCCCTTCAAATATCTCTTAAAACAACTCTTTTTTCTTCGAAAAATCAAATAATCGCTCTATTATTGTAATAATATTTTATAATGACAAGTGAAATATTAATTAAATGTAAAATTATTGATATAAACTATATATATTTATACCTATATGTTACTGTTATATTTGTTTGTTTTTAATTGAAAAAAAAAAGATTTCGTCTCTTATTGTTAGTTATACAAGAAGCTGAACAAGGAGCAGCCCAATTTTCTGAAGAAATTAACGTTGATCGAAGGTAATTTGGACACGGAAAATTTAGGTTTGTCTCCGGAAGATCGAGACAAGCTACTCGATACGGAAGTAATTTTTCACGGTACAGTTATCATACGATCCAATCTTTGCACCATGGCGAACATTCATGTGAAGAGCACAGAGCAAATATTACTGTTGGCGAAAAATATGAGCAATCTTAAGGTATAATAATTTCATAATTTTATCATTAAAAATGATATATATTAAGAAATCATCGCAATAAACTTTCAGGCGTTTGTTCATCTGTCAACCGTTTTCGCTCATTGGAAGCACAAATCTATCAAAGAGAAACATTATACCCCGCCAAGAGGGTATAATATCGTATCGGAGTGAGTCTTATCTCGAAATAAAAAATAGCTCTCTTTCAATAATCAGAAATTTCCTCGATATCGTCTCGTTTGAGCAAAATAAAATATTTTTCATGGATCAGTGCAGCAAAACAATATAATTATATAATTTTATTATATTATTATATTATTACGTAATATAATAAAATTATTATTAAATTATATTTATAATAAAATTTATATAAGATGTATATTATATATTATATAATAATATAAATATATATAATTTAATAACGTAATATGTATAACATAATGTAATTTTATTATATTATTTATAATATAATAAAATAATTATGTTACATAATAATATATTATTACATTATATTATATTATATAACAACTTTTACATTAATTGAACGGTGAAATCAATTATTTTTTCGAAAGATGAGAAAAAAATCAGACGTTTTATTCGATTTCTCGTTTTCTACACTGAAAAAAATTATTTAATTATTCAAATAAATATTTATTTCAATACTATTTTATATATCATTTTTTTAAAACTAATAATATTGATTTGCCGTAAAAAAATATTTATTTGATATAAGAAATCCTTTTTCAAAACAGATAAATATTTATTTGTTCAAACAGATGTGTAAATGAAATTATTTAAGTAAATATTTATTTGAGTTCAATACACAGAGAGAATTTTCTCTTAGAATTTACCCTGAAAATCATGGTAATCATGGGACAATATAATATTGGAAGAATTTTATGAAAATTTCTCTGGTTCATATTTACCACAATAAAAATATTCGATTAATTTTACTATGTACATTTTAATATTTTTTAAAATATTTTTTGTTGTGCTAAATATTAATCAGAGAAACTCTTATAAAATTTTTCGAATACCATATATTGTCCCCCAATTATCACGATTTTCAAGGTAAATTCTAAGAGAAAATTCTCTCCGTGCAGTTTTTTTGTCAGTGCATATGCATTTCTATTTTCTCGAGAGTTTCCGATTGACTCGACAGATTGAACGGCAGCTGGCTCAACACGTTCGCATATACGAAAGCGATCGCGGAGGAGACGGTATTGCGATACTGTGACAAGATACCGGCGTGCATCGTGCGACCGTCCGTCGTGACTTCGACCTGGAAGGAGCCGATCATGGGCTGGGTCGACAGCGTGTACGGGCCCGTCGGCCTCCTGGTCGGTTCGGATCTCGGTTTATTGCGCACGATAGATTGCGACACCAACAAAAAGCTCGACCTCGTACCGGCCGATTACGTGACGTCGTGCCTGATTGCCGCCGCCTGGTGCACCATGAAGTGAGCTGCTCATTAATCCGCCCATTTCGATGAATACGGTGTATACCTTTCTTTCAAACCAAGGCGGAAGTAGAGAGCGCGTAGCAAATAAGCGCGAGTAAAAAGAAAAAGATGACATAATGGTATACGACGACGAAATCAATCTTGATATTTCTCTCGACACACAGTAAAAATGATTATGTTTTAAGTATTAATTCAGTTAATTTAACGTATTGTTGTTGTGTTAATTGAACTTGACTGTTAAATTATTAAAACAGCTGAAAAGAGATGTAAAAATAATACAAAGTGCATCTATTTTTAACTTTACTCAATAAATATGTTCTGTTCGATTAGTGACGAGATTTATCTTTCACAGAAAAAATGTTGGTTTTTTATTTTATAATATAAATGGGAATAATGAAATCTGAAATTAACATTTTTAGTTAATTTAAATTTATGTTAATTTTACACAAAATGTATTTTAAATTATTTGAAGTTTTGCATTTATTATGTGTTACAATATTAACGCACAATATATGTGTCTCCATTTAACATATATCCATATTATGTCAAATTAACATGAAAATTTCTGCGGACGTTTGGGACGTGTGATATCTGTTAACACAAATTTTTCAACTATGTAGGAATGCCGAGGAACTGAAAAAAAAAGATTCTAAACCGGACATAGAGAAGGTACCGGTCTACAATTTCGTATCGTCGTGTCAAGAACCGATAACCTGGCGAAAGTTCCAAGAGTACGTGCGCGCACATAGATCGACGAAGCTGCTATCCATGTTTTGGAACAATACGTTGTGGATGCAGCACAAGATTCTAGGCTACCTGTCCTACTTGTTGCCCGCGGTCGTCGCGAACAGGGCCGTCGTTCTCGCCGGTCAGAATGCAAGGTCAAATATATTTTTCTTAATTTTTGAAATACGCTGATTTCATGAAAATTATTGATAGATATCGTCAAAATCGTGTCAAGACCGCCTGAACCCTTATTCTGTCAAGAAACGGGTACCTTCAAATGTTGAAAATGTATCGAACTTTTTTAAGGAAAAATAGAAAGGGACTTTGTATTCGGAAATCTCCTAAAATATAAAAAGTGCAATATATCGAAAATACGGAAAGAATTTTCTCTTGGAACTTATCCTGAAAATCATAATAATTGGAAGAATTTTATGAGTTTCTCTGATTAATATTTACCACAATAAAAATTATTGATACGTACATTCGTACATAGTAAAATTAATCGAACATATATTTTATATTTTATTGTGATAGATATTAATATTTTTTACGATTTTTTATTGTGATAAAACTATTAATCAAAGAATTTTTTTTTCTTATAATATTTTTCCAATTATCGTAATTTTTAGGATAAATTCTAAGAAAAATCTCTCTCTGTGTACATTTGGTACTCGGGTATTTATACATTGAAAGGACGAAAAATTCTGCGTTGACAGAAGTGTCGAAAAAGCGATTTAGCGATATGAAGAAAAGCGTGCAACATAAAACATTTTCATGATCCATTTTTCTACTTTTTTTTATATTTAGCCGGTGCATGACCTACAATCTGATGAACTCTTATCTCGAGTCGATGCATCACTTTATGACTCAGCAGTTGAACATTGAGAATAAGGCGACGGTCAAACTGTGGGAACAAATGAGCGCGGAGGATCGCAAGATATTCGAGTTCGATATGAGAAACTTCGATTGGAACGAATACGTGAAACAAATGATTAAGGGTATTCACGAAATTGCCAACGAAACGTCGAACGATGTTGTGTAGGAAGGACTGGCTGAATATGTCGAACTCTGATCCCCCCGTCTTAGTTTGAAACTCGACTTATTATGTGTAACCAAGTCGCGCTTTCTCTACGTATATAATTTATATAATCTAGACTAGAACCTCCAGGGAGTTGGACACCCACATTTTTCTTTCCTTTAAATATTACAAGGATATATATTGTATTAATCTCTCATAAAAATATGTATTATAAATAAAGAGCATGCAAAAAGAATCAAAAATAGTTATTAAGTACAATAGAAAGTTACGACATGTCCATTTTATCATAATTTGCAGTTTTTTTGCTCTCAATTTTATTAAAAAATATTACAAGGATATATATTGTATTAATATAAATATAAAAAGTATATATTATAAATGAAGAACATGTTCACAATCAAATAATTTTCAAGTATAGAAAGTTATGACAAGTAATCTCCGTTTCACCGTAATTTGCAGTTTTTTTATACTCTCAGTCTTATTGAAAAATGTCGAGTTGAATTTCGATTAATAATCGGTATTTGACGAAAGTCGTTTAAACATACGAATTAATAAGACATTTCCGGGGAACAAACTGCACTTTCGCATCGACACAGAAGCGACTAGAAAATGGCAATGAGTAGGAAACTAACGACTATCTCTTGCCGGCCAGTGAAAGTGGAGATATTCGGAAAAGTCCGGAAACGGTGTATACATACGGCATACGTCACGGCCGCCACGTGGTGGGGAAACGTCACGGCGGCGTGATTTACCGATAGCAACGCGATGGCGCCCAGTTCGGGATCACCGGGGTGAAATCTGCTATTCAGCAGAAATGCGAGTATCGCGAGTATCTCTGCGATCGTGATATATCCCGAGCATATGTGCTGTAACGCTCGTAAACCACGCCGACAACAATGCGGCCTCTTCGGTCTGATTGTCACTGTTCCAGAACCGCTCCGAGGGCACGAGTGGAACGTCAACGACCCCGAGGGGAAACAACACTTCGGAGAGACGATAATACGTCTTTAGGAATGCGTAATCCTCCTAGTATCACCTTCGATTTTATCGGCCTCGAGATACGCGACTATTTAAATAGCAATTATTTGACGTATAAAATAAGATCAAGCTGAATTAATCTTCCTCAAAAATCATGGTAATCGTGCGACTATATGGACGATATATTTATCACAAAATATGAAATATGTTTGATTAATTTTACTATATGTATATGCATATTGATATTTTTTATTTGTGATAAATATTTAATCAAGAGAAATTCTCATAAAAAGGTTTTCAATTAAAAAATTTCAATTAAAAACACTTATAAAATGTTTTCATGATTTTCAGGGTAAATTCTAAGAGAAAATTCCTTCTGTGTAAAGGTAATAATTAATATAAAATTAATATAACATAATTAATATACAAAATCGCGCTAAAAGGAACGAAGGAAATATTGAATCTAAATTTAATATTCATTGACAAGTGATTAAAAAATAATTATCCTCCAGATTCTCACGTTATTCCGCTTTATTACAATTTAATCTATTTTTATCTCTCCCAATTTCATTATCGCTCACAATATCAATCTCTAATTTTAGAATCGATATCTCGTTATATACATATATGAGCCATACCATCCATCATACCATTTTTCCAAATATTCCGATTGCTGTGTACTTCATATATTAATTAAGTCACATTAATTAAGTCTGGTTCTATTATAGCTGCATGGTAGCTGCGTCTCGTGCATTCGATTCGTAGAAAGAGCGGTTATTTCGCAGCATCTACCTACACGAATCCGTTCGATCATCCATCTATCTATCTATCTATCTATTTATCTGCCTACCTACCTACCTACCAACCTACCTACCCATCTACCTACTCACCTACTCGCGCGATTTGTCCCGTTTCCGCGGCGTTTTTGCGTTCCGTTGCTCTCCGAGGCCGGTTTTCTCGCGTGTCGAACATCGAGGTTCAATTTCGCGAAAAGCAACCTCGCGCGAACTGTTACAACTACTGTTATGAACTGAATTCCCGATTTGTCACACACGAAGAAGGCAGAAACATTACACGGCCACCATTGCTGCGTCACGTGGGAATCATTTATTTCCGCAACGAGTCCAAGAAAATTATTTTATCTATCGATCATTTCGAACAATCTCTCCTCGCCGATTTGGGTGAAATAAAAGATGCATACAGACGCGATGGATCAAATCCCCGGATGGTGGACGAGAAAGACGAGGAGAGAAACGCAAACCGCGGTGAAACAGATCGTGTCGGATCTGAAACAGTGCGAAGAATGGATTCTCTCATCGTTGCGGAAAAAACAAAGTTTCAGAACAACGAGAAAAAAATTGCCCGGCCGAGGAGAGGACCACAACGAGAATTATATATATATACGTAATACTTGCTAATATTCGGATGTAACACTTTTGAATGAAACGAATAAACTTTTGCGCATTTGTGCGAGTTCAATGGATATCATTAGCAGCGTAATAAAAAGATACGAACAAAGCCGGTCGTTAAGATGATAATAATAATAATAATTATTTCTCTTAGCACGAGCGCTCGCGCGCGCGCGTTAATAACGACGGCTGAGAAACGCGTTGTGAAAAGCTGGTCGACTCTGGTGTTATTAGAAGGAAGGGAAAAAAAGAATGAAAATACAATGGTGGTCGTTACGTAACTTACTATATACGTATTGCGAACCTCGTAATGAACGACATCCACTTGCGTGCGACATCATCCGGCGTATGTGTGTGTCCGCCATATTTACGTGGTTAATATGGTGGACACACACATACACACGTGCTTTTTTCCTCTTATTATTTCGTTTTATTGCAAAATCCCGCGTGAGATCGCCGATAAATGTCACGTAATTATAAATAAATAAATCACGAAAAATAATGCAGATATATAGAGAGAAAATATCGTGCTCTTTAAGGGCACGCTGATTACGTCTAAGTTGTCGACAAGTATTATTTTCATTTAACTATTTATTGGCTATACGGAATAAAAAATCCTTTCAAGTATTTATAATATCAAATCTGGGTTATTATATATGTATATATAAAAAAAGACAAGAAAGCTAAATAATTACACTTTTCGTATCAGTCTTTTGCATTAGATCAACCTAATTTAGCAGCAAAAAACTCTAATTATTTATTTAACTTTCTTGTTTTTTATATACATATTGTATAGTAGCTCAGATTTGTTATTATTAATACTTTAATTCTGGTAAAGGATTTTTCATTCTGTGCAGCCAATAATTAAATAAAAATATTTATCGATAAAACATACACGCAGTCAGCATCCTCTTAATGATATTTTAATTTAAAATGCTATACACAGCTGATTGCGTGTCACGCCTACCGTTTGTCGAAACAAACGAATTTGCACAAATTTCGCGAACCGAAAATACGCTCTGTCGGGAAACGAATTCGAAATGCGCAGGGGCAAACAAACAATAACAATGCTCGAGCAACCCTCTCTCTTTGCGGGGTAAATCGGATACAGAATGAAAAAAGAAGAAAAAAAGTAGAACGATGGCGCGATGCGCGAAAACAATAAAAAGTTCCAAAGAATCGACCGAACCCCTACTTCCTTTTGACAGCATCGCCGACTCGTTTTGACAGAGCTTGACGAATTCTGACACGAGGAACGAAAGGAGACTTCCGAAGAGGGTCGGAAAGACTGTACGGACAATTGAAATAATAAACTGATGCGCATGTTTGGAATGCAATCGCTGCAAACTGCATCGTCGCATCGCGACGTAGAAGTTTTTTATTTTATTTCAAGAAAAGCTGTCGTATATTTCTATTCATTTAAACAAACCTTACAAGATATTCCGCGATCGCTACTTTGAATTAAAAAATTATTATCATACGTACTATCTATGTATTTATTATTTCAACAGAATTGCGTTGATAAAAATTCGATTTATAAATGGAGAATTTTTAGAAAAACTGCATCGTCACATCGCAATGTGGAAGTCTTTAATTTTATTTAAAGAAAAAAAAAGCAGTCGTGTATTTTTATCTATTTTTTAAATAAGCCTTACAAGATGTTCCGCGATCGCTACTTTGAATAAAAAAATTATTATCATATGTACACTGAAAAAATTGGTTAACTTGACTAAACCTTTCAACTTCAATATTATTTTGTTAATTGAACCTATAAAAATATTTAAATTATATATAACATATTAAATTTAACAAAACGTATATATTTGACTTAAATACTAATATGTTGATTTAACAAAATAGTAATTTAGTTGAAAGGTTTAATCAACTTAACACATTTTTCCAGTGTACTATCTATATGTAGGTATTTATTATTTTAACAAAATTGTTGGCAAAAAATTCGATTTAAATGAATTTTTAGATGGAAACTTTTTGAAGAAAGCTTTACACAATCTCTGATAAGTTTTCAATATTTTCCATGGAAAATATCTTGATACTCTCTAAGCCTCGAAACGTGCGAAGGGATTTTACGAAATAATGCGAAATTTTCGAGTAGAGTATACAGATGGAATAAACGAAAACGCACACCCGCCCGGCCGGAAAATGCCACCGGAATGAAGAGGGAGCGCGAACTAAAGGGGGCCAGATTGGCCAAAAGGGTGGTGCCCGCAGAAAAACCTGCCGGGGTACTCGATTCTCTCATTCATTCGTAGACGATCTCGTGCATCGGGGCGGCTCGAAAAGAGCGACGCGTTATTATTAATAGAAGGGACACGCGAACACAAAACTCCGGACTTGGGGTAGAGATTTCTCTCTCTCTCTTTCAGGGGTTCGTCCCATTTCAATTTGGCACCCGCTGCAGTGTCGGAGTTTATCTCGAGCGGATTAATTTCGTGGCTCGATACGTTTCGAATAGAAATTCCGCCTCGTTTTATTCCTCCTTTTTTGTCGGTTGTTGCGTGTACCGGAAGAATATAATCCCAGGAATAGAAACGGACGCACTAATGTATACAGACTGCTACAACGAATATGATTTCTTGTCAGAAACTCATGAATAATATTTTCTGAATGTAAGCAGATGCAAATATATTATCCAAAAAATATATACATATTTTTAATACAATTAATTAAGATATATTACAATTGAGTTTAAGATTTAGTAAAATAGACAATGAAAAAAAAAAAAACATTAATCTTTCGCGGGATTTTTTATTTCCTTGATGCTCAATCTGTATTCTGCTTAATCGCGAGCGAGTCTATTCTGAGATCGGATCTTAC